CGAGCAGGGAGCCCGATGCGGGACTCGATCCAGGGACTCCAGGATCATGACCTGAGCCGAAGGCAGTCGCTTAACCAACTGAGCCACCCAGGCGCCCAAATTTATTTATTTACTTTAGAGAGAGAAAGAGAATCCATGCTGAGACTGACGCGGGGCTCAATCCCACGATCCTGAGATCACGACCTGAGCTGAAACCAAGAGTCAGACGCTAAACCGTGCAACCTAGGTGCCCCTAGAAATGCTTTCTTAAATAAAAATAGTTTGCTTTCAATGGAAAGACTATAGTCCCAATAAAACAACAATAATAAAAACAAGAAAAGAAAACCCGAAACTCAAATATTGTTCAAAAAGTCCTCTTCAAAGTTAAATGGGATCATTTGATGACAAAGCAGTCCAAGGAAAATATCTGGATTTAGCTTTCCGCCAACTCCCTCCATTCCTCAGACCGTGTGCAATCGGAAGCATTTCAGCAGATGAAAAGATCTGTGTACAGTAGTCACAGTGACTCAACAATGACATCACTGAAACACTTTTCAAAAAAAGAAAAAGTTTTTTAAAAAAGATCAGATAGATCATCTCAGTTGCAGTTTTACAAGATAATGTATGCTTAGCAGTCACATTTTGTTAACTTTGTTTTTATGTGCTATTTCTGAAATGACTTTTATGGATGCAGTATATGTACTGATATGTTGGACTTGACATCTTGCTCTCGGCAGCGTACTCACAGTGCCCCTCAACAACGGCCTGGTTGTGGGGATGAGACATATTCACAAATAATTAGTACATGTGAAAGAATACTTAAGGTATAGGTGATTAATTGTTAAGAACCCAATTAAGGTTTTCTAAGAGGGAACAGTGTGTAGAATTCTGGGGAGGAAGGTTTAGATGTTATCCCTGAGACGTCAGAGGACAGCATTGGAAGGAAAGGGAAAAAGGAGTGAAAGCAGGCAGGAAAAGGGCCACTGATGGTGGTGATTACCTTCTTACAAGTGTCCGTCTTGATTTTGAGCAGGTTAACTTTGAGGCATTCCTCCACTTGACCCGTCTGCTCTTGGGCTGCTGCTTCTTCAGCACACAGATTAGAGATCTGTTCAAGAGACACATGAAACACAAGGCCATCTCTACTCTCACCAGAAACCTTGCTCTGCAGCCTGTAGATTTGGTGGTCCTCCCACACGGAGCCACAGGTCCTCTCAAACAGTTTCCCGATGGACTTCACTCCCCTGCCTCCTGTACAAGCTGCGAGGCCCCATCCTCCTTCACGAGGACCGGCACACAGAGTCGAAAACCAATCAGTGTACCCATCTTTATGCTGTCAACCCTGAGATTTGAGTCAGACTGTCCCAGGATTGGTCACAAAGAAGGCTATCCTTGATGATACAGGAGGAAGGTGATATAACCAAGTGAAATACTAAAAGCAAATGCTTTATAAGGTTCAGGGTCAACTCAGACTCACAACTTGGCAGCACGTGTGCGTATGTGGTATGCGTGCGCACACACACACACACACACACACACACACACACACACAAAGGGGTTCTAAAACACAGTCCACACCAAAGATTAAAAACTTAGTTTTCTTTGGACAGCTGTGTGAGTAAGCTTCTTTTAAAAATCTTTAGCTATGATCCCCTAAAATTGACATATGTTGTTGAACAAAGTTCTCCACATGGCCTTTTCTAGCTAGGAAGTCAAATAATTTCCAAGGACAGGCATTTCTTTAGTGCTATTAGAGGAGCACTTTATTTTTCTGACAAGTCTCAGGGTATTCTAGGTTGACCATCAGAATAAGGAGAAGGGAAGAACAAACTATATGGAGACATATATAATAAAAGAATACTCTAGTACACGCAAACAATGAACTGTGGGACACTACATCAAAAACTAATGATGTAATGTATGGTGATTAACATAACATAATAAAAAAAATACCAAAAATAAAAAATAAAATAAAAAGAATACTCTAGTACAACAGAGAAACATGGAACCAACACTGTATAGTGATAGGACCAGTGCCAAGTCTAATTCAGTGTCACAGGGAACCAGAAACTCAAACAATGGAGAATCCAGAAGATGGGCCTTCAACTATCCTGGATTCAAGGCTGAAGGGCAAGAGAAAACAGGACTCTTCTCCAATAAGATTTCTCTGACCAGCTCTGTTCATAACCAGTTTCGTACCCAAATCCTACCTCATCTGAGCAGTGCAGCTGGAGCTGAGGATCTAGTCGGTAATCCAGAGCAGACTCCTGGATAATAATCCGTATCTGGTCTTCACAGTCTGAAGAAAGCCGCTACATGTGACAAAGGGAGACTTCATCAGCCTATCAGACAATTTCAGCTTTATTTATTTATTTAAAGATTTTATATTTATTTGACAGAAAGAGACACAGCGAGAGAAGGAACACAAGCAGGGGGAGTGGGAGAGGGAGAAGCAGGCTTCCCGCAGAGCAGGGAACTCGATGCGGGGCTCTATCCCAGGACCCTGGGATCATGACCTGAGCCGAAGGCAGACGCTTAAAGACTGAGCCACCCAGGCACCCCACAACTGCAGCTTTTTATTTGGCCCAATTTGGGAAGGTATGAAAAAGGTCTTGGGAAAGTAGGAGCAAGCTAGGGACTTCCCAAGAAAAAATGACCAGGAGTCGAGGGGCCTCTACAACCACACCTCTGTGAAGAGTCCAAGCCAGTTTATACCTGATCAGCATATCTCAGCTTGAGACAAGAGATGACTTGACCTTCCAGCTCTGAATCATCCTTGGCCTTAGTCAGGATACCATGGCAGAATTTAGGAATGTCAGCTTTACAGGCTTTCCTTAACACAGGGTTTAGGCGGTAATCTGGAGTGGAAAGTTATAAGAACATGATAAAATATTCCACCTGATTCACAAACATTAGAGATCTACCTTTCAAAAGGGGGCATATTATGTCACTGACCACAAACAAACCACTGATTTGTTTATTCGCTAAATGCTTACCGAGCTCTCACTATGCTATTTTTAACCAGCCCAGCAACAGAATTTAATGAAAGAGTAGAGGTGGAGATGGAGCCCCAGGAATTCTACTTTGCAGCAGCTCCACGGGCTCTGCTGGTACCTGCATTCTTAGTAGTTGTCATGAAGACCAAGCAGCCATCACTAATGTTCCCCATAACAGAGGTTTTGGAAAACACTGAGATTACCTGACTCATCTTACCAACTATGTTACAAGGTCTTGTCACTCAGAGACGAAATTTCTCTCTTCTAAAAGACATTACCCATATATTCTCCTACCACATGCAGGAAGTTTTGTTAAATCTCTAGAGTTTTCAAAGAACTCCAGCCCTGACTCCTGTGTCCTCTTTCCTACGACTTCCATTCTGTTCTCCCAGATACTCTTTGAAGAAAGAATAAGTCGTTTTGCTTATTGCATCCAGACCATTCCCTTAAAACCCACAGACAACAAAACACCTGTAGTTTAATAAGGCAGGTATATGCCAACTCAGTTCCACTGAAGCCCCACTCAAAGGGATGGGGAAAGCCAGGCCACGATGTTACCTGTGTTCTGGGTGATCTGGCGCTTGGTTATCATCTGTTTGCATTTGGGATCCATCAATTCACTGTTTTTATTTTGTTTCAAGCACTGCAACATGGTTTTGGAATCTGCTTCTGGACAGAACCTCTGCAAGAAATAAAGTTTTACAAAAGTAGTTATCCAAATACGGCAATTAACACCATCCATACCATTCTTTCATCTATTGGAGTGCTAACGACAAAATCGGCTTGAAGATATCACTCGGTGCAAGAGAAACAGCTAAGTCTGAATACAAACCCAGCCTCAACTTCCCCTTTCTTCATCTATTCTCTACTATATCGCTCATAGTTCTACTACTCTCACTGTTTCCTATTTTGCATAGGACTGACTCTGTACCCACATGGCTATATTACATTATATGACATCTCCTGAGCTTAAATATTGTTTAAGGATGAATGTAATGCCATACCAGGTGGCCAGGTAGCCCTCAAGCCGTACCTACCCAATTGGAACAGGGAACTTAAAAATTACCCACCAATCAATGTGAACAAGAATGTGGGGAAAGGACCAGTCTAGTTCATCTTTTAACTACGGGGGCTATAATCCTACCAAACCTGTGAGCTAGCCCCTGTACACTTGTTAGTGTCCTTGAAGTCAGAGAGATCCATTTTGGACTAATAATAAATTCCATCTCTATGTGCTAATTAACAGTCTATCTGCTAATCACAGTCTACTGATACCTTAATATAGGTTGGTGACGTGGGTTGCTGACTGGCTTTTATAAAAGTCATCAAAATCTTACAAAACTACCTCAAATCAGAGTCTAACATTTCCACTTTTACATAGGACTCAAATCTACCAGGCCCAGCTAAAGACACTTCTAACTTTCACAATTCTCTTTGGTATCTGATAGAGTGAAAAATACCATTTTATTTTAAAATAGTATTTTATTTCAGTAAATTATAATAAAGCATTTTGTTTTATTTTATTTTAAATAAGGCATCAGAACTTTAAGTTTAATCTCTTCACATATGTGGAAAGATTCAGGAACTGGCATCTAGGTTCTCAAGTCAGCCCTGCTGTAGAGAACGCTCACTGGAAAAGTGTATGAAACAAAAGAACTTGTAGAACAGAAAAGTCTTTCGATTGCAGAAGGACGATGATCAGGACACTTGGTGGTGGCTTTTTCAGTATACCTACCACTACCCGCTCTCAAAGACTAATCATGTATTTCCTGGGTATCTATTCACTTGTGCCTTAGGTCAAGGTGAGCTCAGTTAGCTTAGCTCAGTGGTTCTTACACTTGAGCCTGCATCAGAATCACCTGGAAGCCTTGTTAAAACGGACAACTCTGCTCCCAGAGTTTCTGATTCAGTAGATATGCGGTGGGCCCAAGCACTGATCAGTTTCCAGGTGATGCTGAGGGACCACACTATGAGAACCACTGTCTCATTTGTATAAAAGAGGTTGAATGAAAAGATTATACAAATTTACTCCGACATTGAAAGAAGCTTATGTTGTTATTTTTACTTATCCTGTGCTTGCCCCCTGGTTTTGGATCCCTTACCTTTATCATCTGCTTGCAAACTCTCATGAGTGTATAGTCTAGTTCTGGGTCCATCATCTCTGTCTCCTGTAGCTTAAAAACTTTCTGGTGGCAACGGGTACTTAGCTGCTTCTTGTTTTCTTTCAGACATTCAATAATCTAGGGCACAAGAATTATGGTCGTGTTAAGGGGTGTATCCTGGCTTGATAATCCAAGAGTTCTGACTACAGCCTTCAGTTCTTAGTGCATTCCCCATCTTTTGTTCCATTCCGAATTCCTAGGCAACAGGAATCAGAATTTGCTCACCAAGGAGAATTAATCAATTTACAGCTTCAGGGCTAAGAGTGAACCAAACTGTATAAAAATAATGGATGAGTTGAGCAGACTGCACTGGAGTCTAAAAGGAAGGAAACCCACTCAGATTCCTGGTTTCTTCTGCCTTCCAGCTCTTCCTTGTCCAGATTCCTTCTGGAGCCCACATTAGGCTCTCTGCCTTTCTCTGGAGCAAAAGCCCTGACTAGACAGTAGGCACGAGCTAGGAGGATCAGTTTAACTCACCATTTACCACATGAGAATAGAGCATTAGATGCCAGACATGAAAGAGACCCAGTCCTTACCCCAGATAAATACAGTCTCACAGGGCAAACTTTTATAAACAAATAACTACCAAAAAAAAAAAAAAAAAAGAGGAGTGGGTTAACATAAAAGCATAAAGTGCCACACGATGGATTTTAAGATAGTGAATTAAGTGTATCCTGAAATCTGCCGTTCCCTACACCAACCTTTTAGATATTATAAACAAATGATAAAGAAGGGAAACAGACGGGAAGCTGTAGTAACTAGGGCTATAGATAAGGTCAGGAGACTTCTAGGAAATCTTTAAGGCACAACCAAAAATCACCAAATAACTGAGAGGGAAAAGTAATAGATCAATTTAAAAAATGCATTTAATATCCTTAGAATAATACAGAAAGAAATGGTAAATCAGAATCAAGAACAGATGGTTGTGAAAAGAACCAATTATGGATCTTGGAAACAAAAAATAAAACCCAACAGGTGGTCTCTCTAAAGAGCAGAACGGACAGAACTAAAGAATACATGTTTTCTCTGCAAAGTGGAACTGAGGAATTACCTCAATGCAGTACAAACAACAAAGAAATGGAAAGTATGAAAGAAAAAGAGACATGGAGGACAGATTCAGATGTTCCAGAAGGAAGGAAAGGGCAGTGTTTGAAAAAACAATAACTGAGGCTAAAGCCCTATGGCAATGCCCTGAACTACACAGAAAAGGTAGCTGAATCACTGGAAGAACATTGAAAGAAAAAAATCACTCGTTTGCACTTCATTCCTGACAATTCTGGGTAGGGCCCTGTTCTGTGCATTAAGGAAACAAAGTTTCCCAGGTGACTCTTATGTTAACAGAGTAAGATCTAGTTAAGAACTTCTGTGTAATGGGCACAGAATAAGGGACTAATCAATTTTGGAGGTGCACGGTGTTAGGAAAGCTATGGAGAGGAGGAAGCATTTGAAGGATCAGGAAGAGCTTCTCAGGAAGACATGGTGGGAAAGGACAAGGTAACCTGAAAGAGGGAAGACAATGCAGGTAAGGAACTTCCTTTGGGAGAAGGCTGATATAGCTTAGGAGGGGGTGATTAGGCTGGAGAGAATGTGAGGAGGCTCATCCCACCAGCAAAGAATTAATTATTAAAATGTTACCTTCCCATTTTCACAATTAGAAAATAAAAACAGTCACCTGAGCATTGCCATACTGCACAGTGGAACAGTAGTTCTTGATGTCAGTCTTGCAAGCTTCATACAGATCTGGTTCCAGACGGATGTCCTCGGTCTGCACGGGAGGGAGCCAGCATGGAAAAAGGAGCTTATTCTAAACTGGGATGTCAAATGTTCTACATACTCATGTGTTGACCGGATCTTGTCTAGTGACCACAACTCTTACCCAGCAAAGCAGCAGCAGTGTGGCCACCACAGCACAAGGAAAGCTTGGATTTAGTTTCATTCCTGCCACTGACTAACTAGATGGCCTTGGGCTTTCTTTGCAAAACAAAATGCTGTCACCTGCCCGGCCCCTTCACAGGACTGCTGTGAAATGAAATTAGATCATATGATGTGGAAACCACTTCAGAAAGTCAAAACCATCATATAAATGTAGGGTTCTACTTTTATTATTTTATCGAAAGGGCAAGGTTCAAAGCTAGGGACCCAAAGTCTCAATTGTAACTGGACATCAAGGCTAGCTCCACTTAAACATAATTAGCATTGAATCACTCCCGCCCTATGGGAAAATCTGGTAATGCACCTTTTGCGATATTATTGGTGGTCAGTATTCATTACTAGATTTTGCTTAGACTGAGGTGAAGTATGATTCACAATACAGAACATATTAAACATATTTTTAGCTGTTTTCTTAACATGGTTTAACCTCAAAAGTAAAGTAAGAAGTTTCCTTTTACAGTGCACACTGCAGCTGACTTGCGAACAGCTGTCTCACCTCAGGATCTGTAAGCTCATCAGTGCACGGCACTCCCCTGGAGACTGCTGTTGGTCAGGGAGTGGGCACAGATCTCAAACTGAAAGATGAAAATTGAGGGAGGGGTGCTTGGGTGGCTCAGTCAGTTAAGCGTCTGACTTGGGATCAAGCCCCATGTCAGGCTCCCTGCTCAGCGCCTCGGCCCGGCTCATGCTCTCACTCAAAAAACAAAAACAAAAACAAAGAAACCAAACACACACACACACACAGACACACACTCTTTCTCTCTCTCTCTCTCTCTGAGGGAAGGATCTTGCTACAGGCTGTCGGGAAGGGAGGAGGTTTCTCCTGTTCTACTTTGCTGCTGGAGACGGAATGTTGGAGCAGGTGGCTCAGCTACTGCAAGCAGCCAACATGAGGGAAACCAGCCTTGCAATGAAGCTGGTGCCACAAACAGCAGAAACAATAGGGAAAGACCCTTGATCCTTGAGGGCATTACTGATGCAACGATTGTATAACATTCTTACAGCTGAACTTCCAGTGACACGTGGTCAAAATATTTTATCGGTTAGGAAAAGTGAAGCAAGAAGCTGTCCATGGCAAATTTTAGCACAAGGCTCCAAGTTTTAACAATCACAGTAGTGGCTAAAATCTTCCAATTTGCCCTCACCCTTCACCCAACTTTCTAGAGCCTGCCCCTGTGTTTCTGGGCCCCAGAGGCCATGCTACGAGGCGTTACCATCTCTAGCTCCTCCACCCGCAGCTGCTTGCGGCACTTCAGGGACACCCTGTGCTCCTTGGCCTCCTGGAGAGTGTCATTGCGCACGGTCGTGCTCAGGCAGATCACCACGTCCACCCTGCCAAGGGAAGGAGAAGGCTGAGACTGGCTGGAGCCACACGAGGGCAGAGAGCCCAGAGCGAGGCTGGGGCAGGGGCTGGATCACCACCCCAGAGTGCATGACCCCCTTTACCATGCTTCTGAATGCCCTTTCTAGAAGTCCCACTGTGTTTACAGAGTGCTGAAAGCAGTAATTTGACTGTGTATATTACAAACGTCTGAAGGCGGACTACATTCCTGACTGGCAGGGAGGCCAGAGAGTGGACATGTATGCAAGGACAGTTCAATGCTTGTTTTGTTACAAATATGTGACCAGGGGGGAATGCTGCTCTTAACTCTGGACTGTGTTTTTGATGAAAGGTAAAATTCATTTCTGAAAGGTACAGAAACCTAAGCAAAATGGGAACTTGGTTTATACGAGGGAAATGTGTTCTAGAAATGTGCCTTTGCAGGGGCGCCTGGGTGGCTCAGTAGTTAAGCGTCTGCCTTCGGCTCAGGTCATGGTCCCAGGGTCCTGGGATCGAGCCCCGCCATCGGGCCCCCTGCTCAGCAGGAAGCCTGCTTCTCCCTCTCCCACTCCCTCTGCTTGGTTCCCTCTCTCGCTGTGTCTCTCTCTGTCAAATAAATAAATAAATAAAATCAATTTTATTTATTTGACAGAGAGAGGGAGAGCACAAGCAGGGGGAGCGGCAGGATCGATCCCAGGACACTGGGGTCACGACCTGAGCCAAAGGCAGATGCTTAACCAACTGAGCCACTCAGACGCCCCTAAATAAATAAAATCTTTAAAAAAAAAAAGAAAAAAGAAAAAAGAAATATACCTTTGCAACAGAGTGAGATCGAAGAATTGGGGCAGCCATGCTGTGAAAGCTCATCACTTTCCTCATTGAGACCTAATTCTTAAATGAATCAAGTTTTTGTTTGTTCACTAGACCTCTTAACTCAGTACAAGCCCCTGCTGCTCTCCGGAAGAGCTGACATCATGGAATGATGTCGGGAGGAAGTGAGTTAACCTCTCATTCACACTGCAACTTGCTCCTCTAAGTGTGCAATCTGAATCTGCTTCCTCAGTCAGACAGCCTGGACCTGGGAACATTAAAATCGGCCCTTTAGCTTCCAGGCCTCTCCATGTCAGAACCACCTGTGCCCCCTGTGGCTCCAGGCAACTATAAAGATGATCTGGCCACACAATCCAAGTACTTGGCCACACCACCAAGGGAGTGTGCCGGCCTCCAAGGCTAATCCTACCAGAACACAGGATATTTGTCCAGACTTTAGGGAAGCAGAACGAATCAAGTAAAAGCTACATACTTCTTTTTTATGTTGGGGCAAAGTTTCAACACATCCTCCTTGCAGGCCATTTTAAACTTGTAAGAGAAACGAAAATCCTTCATCTGCACCTGAGAAAGACAATGAGAAAGAAAATCAGCAGCTCTCTAGCAAGTTCCACATCAGCAGTGCTCACAGAGACTGCAGAAGCCCACCTTCTAGGCCCTGTGCAACTCACCTTCCATCTCAGGCTTCAGGACCTGCCCACCTCCCCAGTCCTCCCTCTGCTATGGCCCCTCTGGCTTCCCTACCATTCCAATCATGCTGCTCCCTCTGCCAAAAGGGCTCTTCTCCTAGATCTCCCATGGTTTGCTCCGTCACCTCCTAGGCACTTCTATTCAAAGACCTCCTTCTGAAGCCCCCTTTCTCCTTCACCCTCCAGCCCGTAGGTGACTTTATTTTTCTTCATAGGCCCACCTGAGACTGTATTTATGTGTAAACGTGTTTTTGTGTCTTTCTCTTACTAAAACATAGAATTGACAAGGGCAGGGTTTGTCTGTCCAAGGAGCCCACTGTCTCCAGTGCCCTCAGAGGCCCTCAATATCATTTGGTAAAGGCAAATGATAGGCCAAAGGCCCCAAGAAGAGGTCAATTTTACACAGATGACAGATTTCATCCTCCTGGGAAGGAAGTGCTTGCTTTACCAGAATCACTTCCTTTAGATCTGTGCCAACTTTGAAGAGTACAGTTTAACCTTATTTGGATGTCAGACCTGGTATGGTAGTATGATTTAAAAGAGAATACGGCTTAGGGTCTAGTGTACTGATAGACATTTGGACTGCTGCACTGAACAGAGACACAAAACAGCAGATCCCACTGATACTAGCTGTGTAAGCAAAAGCTAACATACCTTACAAAAGCAAGCAATGTGACTCATCTCTATTCCCACTGAGCTGCCCATTCCCTAAGGGTACAGACTCCATCTTACTTAGCACTGCAGTCCCAGAGCCTACCATTGTTCCTGGCCATAGTGGATAAAGACCACGTTTTTTGAGAACTGGAGAAGGGCATATTTGGAACAAATGATTTCTCACAGAACAGGTGCTCTGATGCTCTGGAAGAGAAAGGAATTCAGAACCACCCAAGCAGCCGAGACAGGGTTTGCCTGGCGTTACTGACCAGCTGGAAGTGGGTGACTCCAATGGCACACTTCTCATTCATATCCTTCTGGTGTTTGTTCTGAATGAGACACTCCATCAGGTCCCCAGAGTCGATCTGGTTATCTGCCACATCCTGGGGAAGGCAGTGCACACTTACACTTCATTTCTAATAATTAATGAACAAATCCTGCACCCCAGTTCATAAAAAAATGAAAACTAGACTGATTCTAGAGACTTCCCCAACATGATACATCATAAATTATATCAAAATCAGTCTGAGAAATTATAAGGGATAAACATTCAGTGGACTAAAAGTTGCAGAGCAAGTTGCCCCACACAAAGCTCCAACAAGAACATATACTGTGCAGGGCTTTCACTCCTTTCCCCCCATGACGCCAGCAGCTGGCTTTCAGGATCACACCCAACACTGCCTCCTGATGGTCAGACCCTTATTATGGTTCCTGCATGGTTTCACCCCCACAATTTAGCTACTTCAATAGCTGAATCAAGTAATACAGTAACAGAATTCATTCAGTTGACAAGGAGAAGCTATTATCACTGCTAACAAACCCTGGCTAAGGTACTGGAAGCAGCTCAGCCGTGCTCAGTAGGGCCTGCCCCACCCCTATGAAGGGCATCTCTACAACTGCTGCTAAGTACATACCAGGGCATCCACCAAGCATAATCAGGTAAGGTTTCCCAGGATGGTGGCACCCCCTCTTAATCTGTTTACATTTTCAACTTTAACTTGTCAATCTATCGCTTAGGAGTCATGTATGCTGCAGAGGTTAAGTGCAATATACTTGAGGGTCAAAGTCCTAGTGAATTTGGTTCTGTTCCTCATCCGTTTCTCCAGACATTACTTACATGGCAAAAGTTCTGAATTATGGGCTCACAGGCTCTCATCAGCAAGGCTTCTATTTGAATGTCCTGTAGAAGATTAAACATATTAATAATTCTGCTTCAGAAAGAGCTAGTTGTGGCAAGAGTGGCAGTTTGTGTTTCTGAATCAGTAGCAACTGATGGGCAAATAATTCTAGATGTAGTCTTTAGGTTAGATAGCCCCGGCACAGACAGAATTGCTCCTCCATTACATTCTGAAAGGCAAGTTGATCTAGAGGCAGATACCCCTTGAGCCTGAGCAAAAAAGAGAAGGCAGAATTAAGAACAGTGCAGAGAAAAAACATTTAACAGTAATACTAGAGTTCAGCCTTTGGAGTTTTTCCAAATGGCTAAGCAGTTCAAAATGAAAATACGGGTAAATGACATCTGTCTTTAGTTTATAAGCTCATAAAACAGATGACAAACCACTGCCTCTGGGGAATATACACAAATGTCTTTAAGCAGACAGTAACCTCTGTGCAGCACTAGCTGCTGAAATAACATCTTCCTTTAAAAAGTGACACACCCCAGAATGTCCTCATAAGCTCACAAGGACAACGAGAATGGGAGAAGGCAGACGACAGAAGATGAAAGCAGCAATAAACTTTTGAAAAATAGAAAGAAAGAAAAAAAAAGACTAGTTGGGAAATGTAATTTTACATAATGCCAATTTTGACAATTCAAACGGTTCCTAAAAGGCTTAAGATAAAAAAAAAAAAAGAGCAATCCCCCATTTCCCTAATTTCTGCCCCCAAAGGACAATTTTAACATTTTTAGCTGCTCCCTCCCCAGTAATGCTCTCTGTATTTCTAAATAATATGTCTATGCTTATGAGACTTTCTAATTTCTTTTTTAATATTTCTGTGGGTTTCTGGATGAAACAGGGATAAACACACGTATTCGGTCTTCCACGTTTAAGTGGAAGTCCCAGGCTTTTATTTTATTATTGATGACACAAACATTACCAGATAACCTAATTGAAAGAGCTAAGATAAGAGAACAGGAACAGGAATGCTTGGACTAGTCTTGCATGTGATTAAGAGATCTGAAGCACAGCTGCTATCTTTTCTTAAAGGGGAGGAAAAAGATTGGTCTAATCACTGTGATAATTCTAATTTATGAAGAAAACCAAAGGGCTAAGTATATAGAATATTTCTCTGGAGAGATAAGGAAAGGGGTTCAGGAAGCAACAAAATATACTTCTTTGTGAAGTCAACAGAGGGAATGGGCACTCTCGGGGGCCAAGAAAGGGCAGGACTGAGAAAAGAGGATGGGCCGCTGACAGGATGCCCACGGTCTATGAGCCGCAAGCCGCTTACCTCGGATTCTAACTCGGTGAGGTTGCCGACTATATCTCTGCACTCTACAGCCAGGTCGTCAAGGTGGTCCTGGAGGCACTCAAGCTCCTGCAAATAAGAAAGCAATCCCTTGGCATTTTTCAATTATATAAATGAACAAGGGAAGCCGAGAGAACAGTGTCTACCTCCTTTTCAGTGGTCCTCCTTTTCTTCTTAAAACTATTTCACTGAACAGAACACTAAAGCTTTATTTGAGTCCCCAAACCGGGACTGTTGAGAAGATAAGTACTTGATGTAACAGGGTGGTTAAGAGAGTCAAGGGGGTACAATAGCCACACAAATCCTCCAGAAGGCCAAATCGGTAAGTCCAACAAGAATCAATGCTCAGATGTCCTCAGCATCTAAAAATTTTATCAGGCCTTTATTCTATGCCATCAACAACCTGTCATACCATTTTTTTAAATCTGTGTTTTGATATATTTGCTCCCATTTTAAATCTGCATGTCGATAATAATCAGTGAACAACAAATTCACAGTAGAAAGACATGGAATATTTTAAGACTCTTCATGAGCAAAGTAGGTCCAGACCCAAAGTCCAAAACCCAGCATAGAGCTGAGAGCTCCTGCAAGTCAAACCTGGGATTCTAACCCTGGCCCACACAGAAGGATTCTGAGGGAAACTGCAAAGCAAGTGAACACACTATGGTTTGGACATCTAAAAGCTATCTTGTCTGGGCTTTGGAACCTGACCTGGAGTGACCCTGTAGCAGCAATCCATTACTATTCCTTTTAGAAACTTAGAGGCTTTAAGTAGAACAGAAGCTCACTTTCCCAAAGCATATCAACAGCTATTTCTCGGCAAAGGACTCTATTAAAGGATCAAGTTTAACTTAGTATTCTGCAAGAATCTCTGTTTTAGAATTAGAATTGGAACAGACAAGCAGGGTTGTAGGAGTTATACAATGGCCAGAAGGGGGGGGGACCCCTGAAGGAAAATGCATAAAACCTTTGGAGTAAGAGAAATGGCTAAGGGAAAAATCCCATTCACAGAATCCTTTCCTAAGTGGAGCTTCACGGTGATGGGCTGCAATACAGTGCAGCCTTCTCAATGTGACTTTGAAGGGGTGTGAAAGGAAACCGTTTTCTGGGATTCCATATGACCATATCCTTTGTTTCATTAGACAAAGGCAGCAGAAAGCTCAACTGCAGGCATTTTCTCACAATAAACTTGACAGAACTGCAGCAGGCCCAGGAAACAGACTACTGAAAACGGTATTGGCAGGGCTAACAGATCTGAGTAGTAAGCCATGCTGCTTCTTAAATGCCCAAATCCTGCTCGTGGTGAGTTGTTGGTAGTTTAATCACAGAGGGTGTTTTGTAGTAGTAAGAGCGGAACTTGGAAACGTGAGTTCACACCTTGTTCTAGTATTACTGGAGCTTTAACAAGTAGTTATTCCTCGATGCTTGGTTTCCCTGCCTTAAGACAGAAGACAAGCTCCCTCCTAACTCAATTCGCTAGAATGCACTAATATAGCTTTTCTAAGTTTTAAACCAGGCACAAAGTCTTTAGGAACCATTCATAGAATGCATGTAAGTCTTGGGGGCTCCTTCTTCTCTACACTTTCCTGTATGGAGAGGTTCTAAGACAATGGACTGGATGTCTAGCTAGGATTAGACCTGATTATTAGGTAAGGAAGTCAATACACTTCACTCCCATGGGCCTCAATTTTGTCAATTACTAAATGGAAAAAATAATTCCCATTCCTCCATATCTTGTAGGACTACTGTAGGGCATGCACACTATTCACGCATGCTAGTATTTATATATGTTTATGTTGATACCCTGCCTTCTCTCAAAAGGACTTTAATGTACCTTATTAAGGTGAGAAAAGAAAAAAAAAGGCAATATAAAATAAATTTAAAACAAGTTAATAAATAGGAAAAGAAAATATGGTAAAGAAAGTGGGATGGAGCTAGCAGTAAGCTTGGTACACAAATGCCTACCATAAAATCTTATATACTTGCTACAGGCAGGCCATACCTTTGGATCCAGTTTTTTAAGAGGCAACACAAAGAGGGAAAATAATCATTTACAAAATATAGTAACCATAATATATGAACAAACCAAATGCTTTGGAAAAGTATAATTATTCCTGACATAGAGACCAAATAGAAAATTTTCCTTAGGATTTCTTATGAAGAAGACATTGAATAATGTAACAAAAATAGAGATGCATTTTATGGTGTTTGTACTCTATGTAAAATGTTCATCATGAATATTATTATTATTATTACTACTACTACTACTATAAGGTGAACAGGTATAGCTATGTCAGCTACCTGTCCAGTCTCTGTTTTTTCACTGCACCACTTTCCCAAATCAATCAGGCACTTATCCTGGAGGGCGGGATCTAGCTTAACATCCATGGCACGTTGGTGTAGGATTCTTTGAACTTCAGCTCGGCACTCCCGAGACAGCTACATAAGAGAGAATAAGCAAATTACTTTAAAAGTACCAGAACCAAGACAAAAAGACACTACATAAAGGAAATCTGTTGTCAGGAAACTAATAATGTTACAGTTATTTGTACAAACTTTATACCCCCAATCTCGTCCAAAGTGAGGATTAAATCTTCTAGGAGGCTTCTACAAACCCATACCTCTAGGAAGGAGATCCTACATTCAACATTTTCTAATATACTGAATGAAACAACATCCTTTTCTCAGAGTATGTGGATAAAAAGTGAACTGGATTTATATTTTTTGTTTAGCATAACTAATCTGCTACTACCCCATGAATGTAGAGTAGAATACCAGCTCCTGTTCAGGAGAGAACGTGCACTTGGGTCAGGAACACTGAATTCAAATTTACCTAAACTCTGAACAAGCCCAAAAGCCATCTGTATCCTGGTTAAGAGTTTCTAATGGATCTTTAAAGCTAAATGAAGTTAGGGCAGCAATATTTAGTTGTCTATTTGTCATTTAGATTTTAGTAATTTAAAGAAAACCTGGAAATGTCCCCTAACATTCTGTTGAAATACTTTGTTGAAAACGTAAAATCAGATGGAAAGCTGGTGAAGCAACTCTATGGACACTCACTGAATGAAGTTCCCAGAAGTACAGCAACCCTTCCCCGCCAGATACACTGATAAAGTTTCCTACGATGGCAGAAATCAGAACAATACACAGCAAACTAATTCAAAAACAAATGGTTGACAAGAAGAAATGAAGTCAATATTGAGTGCATACCCTCCTGCCCTGTTCCTCAGTGCGGTAGGCGTGTCTATACAAGCAAGAGAACACAGCTCCAGGAGGCATAAGTTCACTGGTTTCATTCCAGCCATGGGTGTGGCAAAGACGAGATGCATCTCCCTGGCACTTGCGGTATAAGACAGGGTCCAGCCTATAAGGTTAAGAGTTAAAAGATATTCCTGAACTTTGTTCTTCAGGAACACACAGTGGTCAATCGGTAGAAGTCTGGTGACTTTGGTGTAGAAGCTTTAAGTTCCACTTCAGGGAGGCCATGGTAGCTACATAAGATGCACAACATTACAGCAGACTGAGCACTAACATGCCCTGGCTGAAATGAGACAATGAGGCCTGTAGCTATCACCAGGCAGCTCACAACTCTTCATTCAATACTGTTTCTCTAAGAGTGAATGAAATTCAATTCTGTTATACGAGATTCAATAAGATCAGGAAATGGCAAGATAAACAGAATCTCCCACTTGAGTTGCCTTCTAGTCAAACTGTTCTTCTTTTGCCCATGCCAGGTAAGGCAGTCATGTTTTTAGTTTGCTTGAATATGCTTATTAACTTAAAAAAACTTGACATTTAACTTTGAACTCTGGAGACAATGGATTAAAGCAATGAGCCTGCTGCTTCTCCAGATCAGACCAATGGATGCTTAATTCTATCCACATCATAATGTCAACTTTGGGGGAGAGCTACTGAATGGAAGGAGAAAGGCTAACACTTAATGAGTAGCTTTTAAGCCTGTGAAGCATTTTTTGATCATGGGTGAAGGAGTTACAGAAGAGGAAATAAGATGATTTTGATTACAGCAATAAACTCAATAAACCCTGTTATTTTGGTTTAGATGGCCTGAGAAAGTACGGAGAAATTCCCACACAGTTTTCTTTAGTCCTTTCCAGAGCTAATTTGAGGGAACAGAAATAAAAATACATTGAATCTGGGGTGCCTGGGACGCTCAGTCGGTTGAGTGCCCAACTCTTGGTTTAGGCTCAGGTCATGATCTCAGGGTCATGAGATCGAGCCCCACAGTGGGCTCTGCACTCAGTATGGAATCTGCCTGAGATTTTCTCCCTCTCCCTCTGCCGGTCCCCCTGCTCGTGTGCTCTCTCAAAATAAAAATAAATAAAATCTTAAAAAAAATACACTGAATCTTCTGAATCATCCCTTTCTAGTAAAGTATGTGAGTAATATATTCAATCACCAGAAAACTCCAGTGGTTAGGAAGCAGCTGAGCTTCCATGGAAGCAGGAGGAACAGCCAGCTTCCCAAGTGGCCGGGTACCGGCTGCTCTGCGGGTGGAAGGCAAACTAAAACATGGAAAGAGGAGGGCAGTGAAGCAAATAAGTTATAGTGATTCTGACTATAACACAGATCCTTCTCCTATTTCATCCCCACTCCCACCCGTTTTTGGCTAACAGTATGAGAAGAGAATTAGAGAATCAAGTTGTCATTTACTGATAAGAGCCTCTTAAGATAGAAAATTCAATAACTTTGAATAGTTAAAGAAATAAAAACAAATTCCCATATCCAGTGCAAATCAGTAAAAATAAAAACGCACTATTATCTCTTAGAGACCTATCTGAAGATGTTTCTGCTGCCCCACAGGTGTCCAAGTTCTTTGAGGATGGATGTCTGTGGTATCAGAAACATGTGACTCTCACTTCCAAAGCTGTAGTGAATGGGGACACATGGGGCAGACCTGCAAGGGCTGCCTCAGCTTTTAGATACAATTCTGAAGGCAAGAAAGGTTCTTCAGGGGATTGGAGTGTGTCAGCCATCCCAGAACTTAAGAAAAACATGTTCTTACTGATTATTTCAAACCATAGAGGAGATCCTGACTAAACAGGAGAACAGGCTGAGGCTTACACTTGACTCTGGCTTCAAAATACTCACTTCCAATCTCGAGAGATGAAATACTGCAGTTCTAATAGACGGTGCTCACAATCTTCCACCATTTTCTCTGTGTATAAGTGTTCCATCAAGCATGAGAGGATCCTGGGCATAAAACAGGGATGAAATTCTAACAACGGGTTTGGAACTCTCACATCAGTAGTATTTCCTTGGTCTGTAGAAAAAGCCCTTGAGCTATTTTTGAGGGCAGTCGGGGATTTAATTCTCTGAGAATAATTCAAATTAACAGTCTGATAGTGACTATGCCTTCTCTCAACTTCAGGGCCACACGGCACCTGGGACTTGGCTTAACTAAGATTTGTGTGCAGTTGCTTTATTTTTAACTGTTTATTAGAAAAATTTTCCAACACATACAAAAGTACAGAATCCTAATAGCCACCTTCCCTTCCCATAGCTTTATCAACCTATGGCCAAGTTTGTTTTAATTCTACACCTCCCCTTGTTGATATTTTGAAGCAAATCCCAGATACCATATCATTTTCTTCATAAATTCTTGAGCATGTTTCTCTACAAAGACATAATACCATAATCTACCAAAAGAAATTAATTTTAAAAATCCTTAATGTCATGTGATATCCTATTAGTTTTCAAATTTTTTTTGCAATTATCTTATGCCTTTTTATATGTTCGTTCAAACCAGGACCCAGAAAAGGTCCACACACTGCATTTGATTGATAGTATCTTCAAATGATTTTCAGCTGTAGCAGTTCTCCCCTTCCCTCCCTCACCCCTGACCCCTCATGCTTGATGCAGTTATTTTTATATTGGTAAATATTCTTAATTAGTCTTCACTGTGTTTGTCTATCTTCTCCAACTGCACAAAAAGCTTTAAAGAAGAATACCTTTTTTTAACCCCCTGCCACAGCATGAACAGCAGGAGTATATGCATAGCAGCATGATGACAAACATCAACTGCATTCATTTTATTGTTGGGTACTGCTGGCTGCAGGCTATAAAGATTTCTGCAGAATGGGAAACCTGTTCTTTACTTGCAACCTGGTTTTAAGAGCTGTTTGTGCATCATATGGAATAAAACTACTGCATGAGATTCAAATACTTTATTATAGCATTTTACAGCTTCCTAAATCTTGGGTGCAACTTCAGAGTTCATTTTGTCCATGATTACATCCTCCAACCACAACATTTGTTTTTTATTTCAACATAATTAATGAATTTTTAATAATGATCAAGTAGCCAATGTGGCTAATGAGTCAATACACAAATAGGATGAAAGTATAGAGACAAAGTATGTGTCACTTTATCCTGAGTGTTTCTCTCTCTTGTTTTTTATTTGACCATTAAATGGAATTAATCAGTGACCTAATGTACAGGCCCATACATGCTTAGTCACAGTCATCACAAAGCTGGGTCTAGGTATCTACATCATGGATGAGGCAGAGCCGAGGTCTCAATTCCAATATTAGTTTTAACAAAGTTGCTATGTTCTGTTTATCACAATTTTAGTTAAGATGTTAAAACCATCCAAAAGTCATTTCAAGGAATGTTCCCAATGCTACACTGCCAAATAAAATACAATCTGAATCAATACCCCAAATAAGATAACCTACATTGGGTCTCCCGATCTTATGTGTTTGCAGGCTGTCTGTATTACAGATTCACAAGCTTCATTCAGGGCTCTATCAATGCGGTAATCTGCACCAGGGTCAGTCTCCTGAATCAGTGTTTGCAGCTGGATTTAAAAAAAATTAAGAAAGGAGAAAGTCACTTATACATCAGGGAAGAGCAATGTCATCTCTTCAAATAATTACTCAGTCTGGTACATCACAGTGGACTTTTAACAAGGTACTACAATTGTCACTGGCCAAGCTCAAGAGCTCCTGCCAAATACTTTCCAAATGGTTTCTCTGTCTTGAGTGCAAGTTCTTCTGTTTTAGCCATGGTGGGGGATTGCTTGCCTACCTGTCTGGACCATTCCTGGACATTTGCAAAGCAAAAGGTCTTTACAATATAAAGGCTGCCTTTTCCTTCATGTCTGCCTGACTGTTAATCAGATTGCTAAATCTGACACGGCCAAGTCAGAATTGAGTGGAGAAGGGTAAATAGAAGACATTTCCAGTTAGAAACCTATTTGGGGGGCACCTGGGTGGCTCAGTCGTTAAGCGTCTACCTTCGGCTCAGGTCATGATCCCGGGGTCCTGGGATCGAGCCCCCGCATCAGGCTCCCTGCTCAGCGGGAAGCCTGCTTCTCCCTCTCCCACTCCCCCTGCTTGTGTTCCCTCTCTCGCTGTGTCTCTGTCAGATAAATAAATA